TCGTCGTCCAGCATAATCAGGATTAAGATAGTCACTGTGCTACCAGAGTGACTATTGAAAAGTTGACTACTGGGCTGGGCGATCCTAGGCTTCTGGGAACGTCGGACCTCGCCATTCAAGCCTATCTACCGTCCAAAGCGCATTCTAGGAGAGATGCCCCAAGAGCAGATGTGGAACGGGAAAAAAATTGAGGCATCCATTAGGGGGTGACTCATATAAATCATCTGTACTCTGTACTATCAAAAATCTGCTGATGCTACATTTTGACTCTTGGGAAGGTTATAATCTGATATGTTAATTCATCATTAAAGCACACATCTTTCCCAGGACTGAATGCATTTTGGAACTGTGTTAGCGAACAAAAGATAACAAAGAGACGCTGAAAGGCAATACTTATTAACGCGAAGATTCCTTGCAAAGTCTTCTTTTTTTCCTCCACGGCCTTCAACGAGTCTTCTACTAAACTCCAATACTTATTTTCGAGGCACTTCAACAACGCTGGAAAGCCTTCTCCCCTCAACGGGGAATATTTTTGATGAGAAATAACGTTAGGCTACCCTCCTTCTCCTCTTTTTGCTTTATGTAGTGCTTGTACCCATCATCCTTGAGTAGTTTCCTCTTTTAAAGCATGAGACGATAATTTCGTGGCCAGTATGTTGCTGAAAGTTATATTGGTATTGGGTCAGAGCGACTGATATTTCATCCCCATGAAGAGCCATCACGTTTGATCATATTGCTCTCAGTCCTCGATCTCCTAGAATCAAATAACAAACAGCGATGATTGAAACATAATGGCAGTCAATTTCTTTATCGTGACTGCGATGTGTGAGCAACGTGGATTGCAGTGCTTCGAGGGAAACGGGAACATTTTGATATTGATTTGTTGGGTGTCTGCAAACACCAGAAAATCAATACCCATTGATCATCAATACCCGTGGGGTAATATTGGCAATATTACCCCATGTGGTAATATCGCTGTTATATATTCCCGCTTTGTCACCGACTTATCGTTCGATGAGATTCCTATGCTCCAATATTGATTTCAGACTTTGAAATACTGCACAATCAAGATAGTTTGACATTATGAAACATTTGTAATGACAAAGTGAACCAAGTGCAGTTACTTTCTTGACCTCGTAGGTCGCACATTGTACCGATCTCAAGGGATCGGTGAATGTGACGCGCAACTCTGGAAACTTCCGAACATCTTCGTGTTGATGTTGCGAAATTGACTTGACTCGACACGTAACTATCGGTCACACGGTAATCCTATTATTTCCTCTCGCTATTGCGACGACTCTCTGCGTAAAGACAATTCCACCGAAGGCCGCCTATCTATACCCGTAACAGGTTCCAGCATCGTCAAGGACGAGGTAAACCTGCTGCAGACCGGAGGAAACGAGGTGCTCTGTTGTCATGGAAGGAATCATTATGATCTTCAGAGACTACCACCCCAGTAGCACCCGAACGTGTTCAATCAACGCTTCATTGAACCCAGCGTTCTATTCATGTTCCTAGAATAGATATATCGACCGCTTAAATGTCCAAAACTCAAAGCGATGGAAAATTGTTCAAATAATGCGTTCCTCGAACTACGTGAATTTATCAAGGACGTGAACGGGGTTCTATAAAAAAAAATATTTACTTTAGGATTCATTCAATATGCAATTAACGTTATGGATACGCTCTTTTCAACACTGAAATTGCCTTCAGTCCAAGTATAGCCCTGCTACCGCGGCTCGCGGTAGAAACCATAACGTAGTCGATTGTAGTCTGGTTGAAGGTACTATCTTCAATCGTCAGGGATAGTCCAGTAGAGAAACATGGGGAAATTTAGGTGTACTGAAACTATCATGATATATTGTCACCTTATATTCGGTTGTCAGATAACCCACCCACAGAATAGCCTTTTCCAAGGGGAGATGACGATGATAATTTTTATTTGTACCGTTTCATTCTCTTTCCCAAGAAGTCACCTTGACCCTCCGCCATATCTCTTTCGAGCCAGAGTTCTCTGTAGACTCCTTGGAATGGGTTGCTGCTAAGACCGATTTGTTCAAGAATTCAAGTATTTCCTTTCTGGTTTATGTGGAGAGAGATCGGTTACCTTGTGGACGGTATACAGGAAATGAATCCAGATATATCAGGAAATGACACGTTTTATGGACTACCTTGGCGCCATCTAGCGTGGATTGTGCGAACCTTTGCTTCGAGCCTTTGTCAGGTGGACACCATTGACCTGGATTAGGAAAGCATCTTAAGCGGTCGACAAATGTCCTCCAAATGCAGCATGTTTCGTGAAAAAAGGCACCTTAAATAAGCACCCAAAAGTTGCATATAAACGCACAATGGACGTTCAAATAGCTCTTTGAACCGTTGAACCTTCTCGAAAGCGTTTATGTGCTAATTGGGCGATGTCATATGTATGAAGACTATAAGTTTCATTGGACCCGTGATTTTTCTTGGCACCCAATCACGTGAATTGAATGAGGGAAATGAATTCGAATGGAGGCGAAGAAAAATATAGTAAGATGCAACACACAGCACAGCAAAGATCCATAAATCCCCGCGTATTTTTTTTGTAGGATTCCGGCTCCCAAACAGTACACCTGTATTTTTTTGCTATCTGCCAAAGCGACTGCGATATGGGAAAACAATCCAAACCTTTGAAAACTCACTCTTGCCGACCTCCTTGCGTTGTTCGTTTGATTTTTCAAATCTGTATTTAGAGCCATGGAAACAAACGAGGAAATTAGGGTGGTGTGTTTCCTTACGAAAGCCCACGCATGTGGCAACCAGCCGAGGAATCGCCCAGTACACCATAGACCCTTGAAATCCCTGGATTCACGGCAACAGGTGGAACGCACTGTAGTGAGCGATGCCACCGTTCCCATTCGAGAACCACGTCAACTCTCGTTTCCAAGTTCATCCGGAAGATGGCGAGACGAGACGAGTTTTATTAGAAATCTCCGATTTCTAATAAAACTGTCTCCCCTCTCTTTCTTATGGCCGATTTCAAATTTCATTTCAATGAGGCACATCTTCGCATGGTTAGGACGAGTTCTGTCGGAATCGCAAGTTCATATGTCTAAACGTTTGGCCTGTAGAGCTGTCACGCACACACAAACGGAAAAAAAACAAACAAAAAACAATTGTCTATTGGTCAATCTAACGGCCAGAATTGTACACGGGCTCCAATCGCCAATGGTACCAGAATCGAGACTCTGCTACCATTACTACTTGTTAATTATAGTAAATTCAAGTAAATGGACGGAAGACTCATTTCTCTATTCTGCGCACGGCTGGAATCTCTCTTTATTGCATGACTCATCCGAAGCATAGTTCAATCAGATAATATGTATTTGTTCGTCATTTCCTCCTCCTTTTTTCATTGGCATTTCTTGAAAACATATTTTTCGCTTCATGAGGATCAGATCACTTTTACACCAGAATGAATTTTTAAAATCCCGCTTTGCGTACGAAAAAATGCTCTCACTCATGCTCTTTGTGGTGTCCGGGTCCTGCAATGACAATGCAACCCTTACCGTGGCATCATTTCCTGCTTCTGCAAGAGAAAATATGAATTATCCCTGCTCCTTCGAAGATGGACGCGCGTAAACGTGGATCTGCATGATTCCTACGCACGATATCCATGAATGAAAGAAAATACCCCAGAGACGTGGGTGAGGCCCATCATACGCGTCCGACATGGTCTAAATAGGCGAAAGATGATGCTCCTCATGTCTCAAGGAAGCCGATTGACATAAATAGCTATTCGCATACTGATTTCAGGAAAATTTCTACTTTGGTGATACAAGCCATAGTGGCACACCTTTTCGGGGAACATATTTTCAAGTAGTTCTCTTTGCTTCAATCAAACGGAGACACATGGAAAGCTGAAACTTGGCAAGAACGTCACTGCTAACGCACTGAGCTCAGGAAAAATGTCAAATTTCCAAAATATTTTTGGAGGCATATTTCTTGGAGACGTAACGTTTTCAAAGAATGTTTCATATCCTAGCGAATCAGGCAGAAATAGAAAAGTAGCAGCTGGCGCACGTATAACGGACGTGATGTTGATTTAAGGAAAAATTCTACTTTTGTTGTGTGCCTCCACAGAGCACAGCTTTTGGGTGCGTCGCTTTTCCAAATACATTTTTTTACCGCCAGCGAAAATGGGAAACATATAAGGCTGAAACTGGGTGACATGGAGTTCCCTGAGTTTACATTTCAGAAAAAAAAAACAAATCTTCGTTAAAACCCATCAGGGCCCGTTTTTTTAAGTTCCGTTTTCCTTAAAGTTTTATTGATCCAACGAAACAAACACGGAACATTTAAACTTCCCTCTGAAGTACCTATTTGATGGCTGAGTACTGGAAAAATCCTACTTTTGAAATATGTCACATTAGCGTAGATTACAGGAGGGAAGAATTTCAAAATGTATTCTTCACTCTTACATAAAGGGACACACGAAAATATATCAAGTTAGCACTCTAGAAATCATAGAAGTAATGATTTTGATGAAAGTCAAGACTTTCGTCCCCATATGTCAAGTATTTCAATGGGGACGAACTTTAAATACGTGTTTGCCATTTCGCAAAGAATAAATGAATTAATCAGTATCCAAGTTAATGGAGCGCCTAAGGCGCGACCACAGGGAGTTTGTTTGCCCGAAGTGGAAACAAACTCGCTAGTATTTATATATAGCGCACTCATTTTTTCGAGAGTGATATTTTCATTCCTCCTTCTTATCTCTTGGCAGACTCTTCACTCCTTACTTTTCTAAATCTTATTTTCTCCTAGGGTGACAGTGGAGGCCCTTTAGTCGTCTGTTACGGAAACCAGGCGTACCTCATGGGGTGCAAAGATCGCCCATCCTACTTTGTCCGAGTCAGTTACTTCCAGGAATACCTCCGAAAATACCTTGGTGCGGCTTCGAATGTTTATGTTTATGTTCATAATGCTTCGTCCAGGAGTACGAAACGTACGTACTTATCCTCCCTCGAATCAATATCGTTCATTTATATAACCACCTTCTGTATTGTGTAAATATCATGAAAACGTATAGGGATGGATGAAGATGTCTTCTTTGGCAGTGCAATGGACATGGATATTGGCAAATTGCAGTGCTTGTCCTGGCCCTTGGAAGTCGTTGTTTTGCACGTTCACTGCCTAGTTCATTGAGCAATGTCACCTGAAAGCAAGAAACACTCCTCATTAACATATATGCAAAATTGCAACTATTCAATATGTAAATTCATAGAACATTTTCCCTGATGCAGTATACCTTTGACAGAGTTATACCGGTTGAGGTAAAAAATCTGGCGCTGTTTGAGATTCTTTGAAACTTAGGAGATAGCAAATAGCACCGGGGAAAAATAGCAATGATTCCCATGCATTCCTGCAATTCTGGTGCATGCGCACTGTCATACCATTAGACCAAAGGGAGTCAGAGTCATTTGGAACCCATTCCATTCGATACAGGGCATGCGCTCTATCATGAACAAAATGTGGAGAATTTCTATCACATGAAATATTGATAATTCTGGTCTCGGAATTTTCAAGGAATTGAACTCTAACCATCAGCGAAGAATTTAGAGTAATAAATATTCATTCACATTAGCCATAGAATCAGGATTAAACTGTTCTTGATGAAATAACCCCACTTTTGCCCTTTTTCTACACAAATGTACTGTATATGTTATTCTTAATAATAACCACGAAAGACTTCAAGTAAGTTTTCCTTGCAGCATCTGACTGTAAAAGGAATGAAAGGTCTTACATAGGCAGATGGCATGAAAGCACCAGAAACGTGCCTTTACGCTATGAAAATTTCTTAAAACTTCGAACCTTACAAATCATGATTTATATCAATTGTATGCATGCCTGAAGAGGTCTCGCACAGTTTTTGAGGTTGGATATATTTATTCTCAAACGGGAAGAATGCTTTAGTGAGAAACCTGAACTCTCTTTGTGCCTCGAGCAAACCTGGAAGGTCACTACCATTAAACACGTGAAGATACTACACGAGGGCTCAAATCAAATTAAATGTGGTAGTATGGATAATTGAAAATTTCATACCTGAATTTAAATATGTTAGGCGCAGCAGAATTCGAAAAGCGGCGCTCTTTTCATTTCCCGGAACATCATATAATTAATTTGCTAACATTACAATTGGATCTGAAGTAAATAATTTGGTCAAAGTAAGTGCGGCACCTGGAAATAAATTACTCTGAGTAGGAACTTCAATATCCATTGCATTTATCATTCTGCAACAGAGAGATACAGAGGAAGTGAAGTACCGCTTGGGAAATTCCATATATCGTTCACAGAATAGGGGTACCTGATATCAGTGGTCGAATGAGAAATCGTATCACTGCCATATCAATGGCGATTCCCACGCTCCTGCAACTCTTCTGTAAAGAAATAAACATTTAAGCATTAAATTTTCAGGAAGCCAAGAATGTATAGATGAGAAAAGCTAAAGGAACGGCGAAAGATCTTGTCAAATTGCGCATTTTCTCTCTCTTGACTTCGAATAAATATGGTCTAATCTATGTCCCTGTCCAAGAAATAAAAAACGACAATAAAATACATGTTGAGACTTCAGCTATCATGAATTATTTAAATAATTTTATAATGAATTTTTATATAATGTTGGAGGAACAACTTTTTTCGGAGATCCTGGAAAGGAGCTGAATTTATTTTCTTGAACTGATATAGTCTTCTTATGAGCATGAGCATTTCATCTACTGGAAAATAAATCTCTTGTTTTTGGGCTCCAAAAGTCATTTCTAGCAATAACCTATTCCATGCATACGTAGGAGAGAATAGCGTAATCGACAAATTGCATCTGATGGTAGACAAGCACAAGATAATCTATCTAAAACATGTTCAGTGAAACCACATGAAAAAAATGGAGTACACACAAGACACTTCGAAGGACTTTTGAGAAATCCAAAATGTGACCAACAATTACCAACAGTTCCCGGCTTTACCATTACTGGTTCTTACTCTTTTGAGATGAACAAAAATATAAAATTTCATGGGATATGGAATGATTGAAATACCATCTTGAAGCAGAGGGCGATTCTCCCTTCTTCTCCGAGATTCGCAAGAAGTCAGGCTCTATTACCACACTCATCTTGCCAGATTTTCTCTCTCTTCAAGCATTAGGTAATGCAAGGTTCTAGCCGTTTGGATTCGCCTATCACGATTCCTCTCAATAACAATGACGTTGTAAATGATGCTGCTGACAACCCCATGAATCTATTTGTCGGCTACCTGTGAGTCACGGTTTAGAGCAGTGCCTTCCCCATCCAGTAGTCAAATATTGGATGAAGGTTTGAGAAACTGTTTGCATTATCTTCCAATGAATAAAGCGATTAAATAAAATTTAAAATGAAGATATTTGTTCTAGGAGGATAACGAGTTGGCGATGGATGAGAATGAAAGGGGCAGAGCGAAATCATGTTTTTCCCCTCACCTGGGCTGAGAGGAAGTAGGTCGACCATGCAACGGTCCAGGACCCACATGAGAGGAACAGTATGAGCCCTCCAATCCACGTCTATCGTCCCCCGAAAGGAGATTCTCTCCAAAGTTTTGGGCATTTTGCCCTTCCACTCCTTTGGTAAAGTGTTCACCTTCATCCACACATGTCCTGAAATGCCAACAGAGATGATTGAAGGAAGTAATGAGTAATGAAAGAGCTATTATTACTGTTGCAATGGCGAAAACGAGTTGATTAATAAAATAATGATCTAATAAAATAATATTTGCTAATCACTCAGCATTTACCTAGCACTGTTACTTTCGTTATCTCCCTATGCCAATTAACATTGTTTTTGAGGTGAGGAATTCTCTAAATCAAGTGAGTTTAAATATTACTACGTCAGCTGAGCTCGACACATTACATGAGATGATTCATATCCACACCAGTCATTCATGCTTGCAATGAAACACTTTTTGAAAGCTATTGCGGTGAATGAATTGCATCCAAAGGCACCATTTCTCTGGAAATTGAAGCAAACGTAACACTTCCTCTAAGTCCAAACTATAGACTGGCGGAGTCGTTCAAAGATCAGGCTAAAACAAAACCAGAGAGGATGTCTCTTTCGGCATAGATATGTAACTCCCTTCCCGGAAATACACACCACGCACCTTTTGTTTTCACAGTCCCACGCCGCATTCCCCACGCTCTACATCCATCAGCATTTTATCTCAATCTGCGCTGTTTAGATAGCTCATGTTTCTTCGAATGATCCCAAACGAGAGCCAAGACACTTCAAGAAAAACGTGAGCACAAACTTCGGCTAACTCTTCATTTCACTCTAAGAGGTAAAAAGGAGAATTACTCAATGTGCCTCTTTGCTTCCCCAGAGTACGAAGAAAAAAATAAAAACTGTAGTTGGTGGTGCACGCTGAAAATAAAATATAGCATGGAATGTATCAATTGAAACTTTGTTTCTGCAACTTTCTTTTCCTTCTTTCTACTTTTATATGAAAGACATCGAGCGATCTGCATTATCCTTCCTCAGTACCAGTCGGTTCTGTAAGAGAAAAGAGAAGACACCTTTTAAGGATGTCACGGAAGTAAGATTTATTTTTTTTAATCTTGGAATTGTCATGGTTCAGGAAATTCAGATTTCGCAGTCTGGTAGATCAACTAAAAATTCACCCTCACTGGTTGTTACATTTACTTCAGATCCAGGGCTGGAATTAAACAGGCCCACATTATGCATGGGTTATAGGAAAATACCTATGTGGACTCTTTTGAAAAGAACCAAAGGGACACGTGATGAGATAGGAAGAGAACATGAACAATACGTACCGGAATTACGTACCACAGGGAGGATGCCACCATTCGGAAAATCTTCGGCGAAGAGTAGGATTCCTCTCCATTCATTTTCTGCTTGTTTAACATCACTAGGGATGAATATCCCTAAAAGAAAATAAAAATACTGTTATACTGTCCATTCTAAACCTTTTACCGCTTTGGAGAGAGGTCATTGATTCCCAAGCTCTCGATAATCCAAACAATCCCAAGCATGAGCCATATATCAAATGCAAACAAGCGGAACAAAGTGCTACAAAGTTCTCTTTAATTCACCTGGCGACTTCATATTTACATTAGCCCAAAGAGAGCCTAGCGGCTACAGTTTTAGAAAAATATCGCGCCGGATTTGAGGTCACTATGAAGGAAACATTAAGCTTTCATTGATTCTTAAGCTTGAAGAATCTTTGAAAGTCTGAATTTAATGGTATTGCTTCTCTCTGGAATTTGATGCAGGCCTGTGGATATAGGCTGGGTACTCCGCAAGGGAGAAGGGGCTATTTTGAAGATATTGCATTTAGGTATAACAACGAGGAAGGGACTCACTAAAGAATTTCTCCCCAATAAGGACTATGGGGCGATGAAAGTGGTCTGCTCCCGACTGTAGTAGAGTAAGAGGCTCCTCAAAGTTTTTCTTCACAAGAATATTCTGCAGAGGATGGAGAAAATCATTGCCTACATAATAGATATTGAAATCGAGTCGCACATTTGCAAGCCAAATAACTAGTGTTCTCTACTGAAAACAACGTAGTCTCCTAAGTAACAGGCATGAAAATGAGTTATGAGTCAAATTAATCAGACACTCAAAAATACCATGTGCCAAAATAAGACACATTCATTCTGCAGGTATCCGCATATCCAAATGGGTCAGTGTGGTTTCAATGAAGATACTATGTGCCCAGATTGACAATATCGTCACAGGCAGGTTCTTTTCTAATTAATAATCATTGCTAATTCTTAGGAATCAAATACAATTTACGAATCTAGTGATTAATCGATTAAAGCTCTATTAGCAACTAATAATAATAACTGAAAATGGTGAAATGACTTCCAATCGACTATTTATTGTATAACAAGAGGTTTGATATTCTCTTTCAATTTCACTACATATTGCATCGTTTTTTACTCGGAACGGTTTTTTTGTGGCTAAGCTATAATTTATTCGGATTTTGATAACATCTAAATTCTTGGGGGTTTATATTTCAGGAAATGAATACGAAATGAATGAAACGATTACCCTTCCAAAGAGAGAAGCAAAATCAATAGACAATATGCTCCAAGAGCAAGCCCTGACCTGGGAAAGTGATAAAAATGAAAACATTCTCAAGATTTATGGCTCACACTAAGCAGTTGCTAAAATGTTTGCTATACTTTGATAGGAGCATGCGCCGAAGGGGGGGGGGGGGAAATCCTTGAAAAGAGATCTCAAGGTAAAGTATTGTTAAGGAGGGGGGGGGGGGGGGGATGGACGGAACAAGGAGGGCAAGAGATCTCAAGGTAAAGTATTGTTAAGGAGGGGGGGGGGGGGGGAGATGGACGGAACAAGGAAGGCATGAGAGGCCGAAAGAAAGCCACGGAACGGCCGGGAATTGAACCCAAGCCTCCTGCTTGCCGGTCAGGTGCGCTACCACTACACCACCAAACCCGAGCCTCTCGATATCAATCTCAACCGTCACAGTATAGACATTGCCTAACTTAAAAGTATAAAAATGGGGAAGAAGCTGAGAAAGAGAGAGGGAGAGAGACTGACTTGAAGGAGAGAGAGATGGAGAAGGGAACCGGTTAGGGAGAGGGAAAGGGATTCCAACACCCCTCCTTCTCCACTCATCTTCAATGGTACAGGGGGCAGTTTCTCGTCTTCCCACTTCACTCTCATTTGCAAGAGGATCTCCAGGATTTTCTTTCTCTCTTCCTCATCTGCTTGAGTCACTGATCCTGGCGATTCTGGAAAAGAAAGATGTGAATGCGATCTAAGAAAGATGAAAAAAATATGGAATTTGGTGTCAAATTCTTTACAAGACATCTCTTGAACGCGCATAATTTCGCACTGGCGTATTCGCTTCTAGAAGCCTAACGCTTGCGTACCGACGATGACAATGTACTGAGGACATTGTCATTGAATCACAAACGATTTGAGTGCTTGAAGAAATTATTCAATGTGTCCCATTCACCTTCTCAACTTCAGGAATTAAAGCACCTGATTCTGATAAATATTATGCTTTTAGAGAAAATTAATGGAACGATGAAAATTTTCAAAGACTCAAAATTCACGCAGGACTTCTTCCGATTCCCAACATATGCAAGCAATGTTTCCTGTCAACATCAGTGATAGGACATCGTGTTTAGTATTGTATTGGGGGTCATAGACATATAAAAGGGAAGGAGGGAAAAATTAATACAGATGGTCATCTTAAATATTGCAACAGCATGACTCATAGAGCGATATCATCTGCAGATGATTCTGTTTACCACAGTTATATACGTATCCCCAGTCCTGAAAAGGGGACGATGAATGGAGGGTTTTGCTGGAGTGGTCCAGAGTTTCCCATGTCTCAGGGGGGATGTTTTGGATTGCGCCAGTTGTTTCATTCAGGTAGCCGCATCTCAGTGCTTCTTTGCCCACTCTCTTCGCTGTCTCATCCCAGGTCGGCCCCTGCAAAGTGGCAATTCCAAAAAGGTTTGTCTCTTCAGTGGGCATGTTTCGCAAAAGGCAAGCCTTGCCATAACTTAATTTCGAGAATAAAAGCATCAAGATCAATGAAACCAATAAGTCAAAATGTATCCATATAAGGAAAAGGACCCGACACGCGAAATAAGACTAGAATGGCAGTGGTAGTACGATCTCTATTATGTATATACCTAGTATATATACGGGAGGGGAGGGTCAATAAATAAGGTAAATTTAAGTATAGCTTCAAAACAATTTCTTCCAGAAATGTGAACATATTCTATTTTTCAATTTCATTACCACCTACCTGAACACATATTTTCCAACCATTGACAAGCTTTCTAATTCCATCAGAGAAATTCGTTCTTTGTTAACAGCGTAGCCAATTATTCACCGCATTTTGAACGTCTGTATTGTCCTTGAACATGTGCCCCCGTTGTGCATCTTTTCATGAGTCGTTTCTGAATTTTTCACACCACTTTTGCGCATTTTTCGATGATAAACAACTGTCCCCATATTTTGCACAAAGTCTATGGTAAATTTCACTTGATTTAACTACTTCTGACAATAAAAATTAAATGAAATTTCGCTGTTCAACAGCGGTGCAATCTGAAAGAGGGGCCGCCATTTTAAAAACTGACTTGCGACAATATTGTCAACTTTACATTCCAGAAACCACGAGTACTAGATGTTCAGAGATGCAGTAGCGAGGGTAGGTGGTAATGAGTGCATAATGGGTAAATAATGTCCGTGAAAAATGTAAAATCACTTTAGTTATTGACTCAACCTCGTAAATGTATATAAAACACGGTCCGCCAAAAGAAGTGTAGAGATTTTATGCGTTTATATTTTTGAAAGTAATAATGATAACCCATTTCTGTTTGTTTCAGAATACAGTGATAATTGAGGTTTTAATCGTCATCAGAGGGACAGTACAACAGCGTGTGGTTATTGTTGAAATCTATTTTAAGAATGGGTTCTCCATCATTACGGCTCAGAGAGCATGTCGTAGGCAACTTGGTGTTAATGTTGCTCCATCTGAGCGCGTCACCGTGTAGGCCGCTTTATCGGATATCATTTGAAAAATAAGAGGGAGTCTCTGATGAAGGAATGGAAGACTCACTTTCAGAAACCTTTCTTTCTCATCCAGTCTCAGTAGGACCTTTGGATGCTCTTCAGTATAACTGGGAAAAGTGTCATGCACGGCCTCCACGCGTCCTTCTTGGGTCATGGTGTCCCAAAGATGCTGATGGTTAGGGATGTTGTCGATGATGACGAGTCCAGTCCTAGCGCAGGAAATTGCTTCCTGCAACCAGTCTTCATTCACGTTAACCGAGACTACGACCGAAGCTTCGCACCCACGAAAGTTCTGAGGATGCAGCACTACGATATCAGGGTCGGACTTACAAGTTTCCAACGACGCTAGAAGGTCTTCATCTGTAACCAGGATGAAAGGTGAAATGCCTGGAGCCTTTAAAAGGGCAGCCTGGGAGAGGGATAATGCAGCAGTAGCATATTTACTGCATGACATATTCCCAGAACATATGTACCCTGAATGTATTTGTGAACATTTGAAGTTTTTCATGCTGATGAATCGGACTGGTGGACCTGGGACAATCGCTGCGGACATTGCAGGCAAGGACAGTGCAGTTCGAGTTTCGTGTCGTTGTATATACTTCACGAGAGCCACGTTCATCGGTTGAGATCGAATAACAATCGCAGTGCAGTCGGTTTTTCCTTCTCTCATTCGCGCAGCTTTTTCCACCGCGATGCCTGAGGTGTCATCTGAATGTGGCCTGAATGCGAGTATGAGCTTTGTATTCATTTTTTGTAATCTCTCCTTAGCGCCCTCAAAGTCCTTCAACAAAGGACAGTCTTCGACCACTACGAACAGGGGAACTGTCTCATTGCTCACCACATGTTTGTCCTCCTCCTTTTCCATTTTTTTCTTTTTATTATTCAATTTAGCTTTATTCTCTTTAACTCTCACTATATGGTCCAGAATGTCATCGACAGACTTGATTTTGCTTGAATCCAGATAAGCAAGTTTCACATGATCCTCATTCCCCCAGCGCTTTCGGTAAACTTCCCAAGACAGGTCAGATCCGCAATGGAGAAGAATGAGATGACCCGAAAATACCGTCACATTTCTGATCAAAATATCTATCCTACTTGTTTTTCCTGAGGCTGGAAAACCAAATATTCCACTGAGCCAAGACTTTAGCATCCTGTCTACGTCTGCAATTTTCTGTTCGTCCCTTCCATCCGAATCAATGTCCATTCCAGGAAAGCGTGATCGAGAAAAAGCATCATCCTTCAAATGGTCGATTTTCTTGCTATCGTAAGCTTGCCATGCCTTCTCTAGTGTTCGACTGAGATCTGCCCCATCGATGTTCCCCTCCTTGATCTTCCATCCAAAAATTTCATTTGTGAGACGAGAAAACTTTCCCGTCCTCAACTCCTCTTCCTCCGTCACAAGGATCTTGTTTTCTACAGTGGATGCTATCAATCGGTTGTAGTTCTTCCACTGCGTAAATGGGAAATCCAGGATGATAATGAAATTACTCGGGTAGCATCCCATCATTTCGTGCTCGGTGACGATTACAAGAGAGGACGAACCGTTTAAGTTCCCATTCCCTCGCCATATCCGCCGGCGGTTGGAGAAAAAGAGGAACGGAATTGATGGGAAAAATGACATAATTATGTTTACAAGGGCATTCTTTCTCTTCTCACTATCAACAACGACGAATATCGGGCGCTCTTTCGATGATCTGGAGCACTGATTGCGTATCGAATCAATGGCATGTGATGCCCTTACAGCTTCGCAGATCATCTTCTCCTGGCATTTGCTGGGGTGAAGAGCTGAGCAAGAGGGAATGAAAAGGAGAGCTGGAAGAAATCCTCCCGCAGACTCATCTATGTCCATTCGAACTGTCTTCTCAAGAGATAAAACGTTTCGGCTGAAGAAACACCTTATTGCCATGAGCAACTCGGCAATTTTCCTGCTATTCCTCTTGACTTCTTCGAGGATTTTTATCTGGCAACCTCTGGGTTTCACGTCCAGGAGGGGAATGTCTCTCGTGTATGACTGGTCAGTGGGTCTGAAGGAGACAGTCATTGACTTTATATTATTTATCTCGTCCAAGATACATTCCCAGTGCTTGGTGACAGCTTCTGGTGTGATGATGTCCTGGAATCCGAGTGTGATGGGGACTTCATCTATGAGGATATTTTTATTTTTCCCCTTCTCCAACAGGTATTTCTTCAATGCTTCAATATTCTCCTCGAGGCCCTCATCTCTCCGGTCAATTACCTGAATCTCCTCTTCATCTGTTTAGCATGAATTTCAATTCATTCATGTATACATTCACTTCATATAAATATTTCTCACTCAGATTCCTTTCGAGCACATAAGGGTGTCATTATTATGACTCTACTCTTTCAAATTTGTATATATTTTAATAGCTCACCGCGTCGATAGATTTCCTCATAGAATGAATGCAAAGAGGAACTGATTCAAGGGAGTAGTACCACCTCTGACCCTCCCCACAAGGTTCAATTCTTGACCCATTACTTTTCATCCTATACATAAATGACCTTCCCTGAATATAAAAAAAGCTAAAGTTGATATATATGCAGACGACACCACAATTTACTTTTCACATCCAAATCCTCTGGTTGTTAAGGAGACTCCAAATTGAACTTCCCAATCTGCAAAACTGGGTTAACAAAAATAAAATTCTTATAAATGTCAGTAAGACCCACTCCATACTTATAGCCCATCTGAACAAGTTTGCATCATCCTCTATAAAACACTTAACATTGCCTTACTTTAAACTCTAAGCCCATCCAATCACTTCAAAAAGTCAAACTCCTTGGCCCAACCTTAGATGCTCACCTTTCTTATAAAGAACATTGTCTCTCCATTATTAAGAAATTAATCTAAATCTGTACCTCATTCGCTCTCTCTCTCCATTATTCTCTACTAGAGAAATCCAAGTACTTGCTAATGCCCTCATACTCCCTCACATCTCATATTGCCTCCCTATATATGCTTCCTGCTCCTTATCCAATATCTTAGATAGAATGAATTCCCAAATTAAAAAATGCCTAAGAATAATCAACAAATGTTCAGCACGTCACCCATCCGCACTGCTTCTATAAAATCTGACTGGCTTTACTTTGATAATCTTGCGCACTTGGAAACTGCATCCCTATGCCACAAAACTCTGAACACACCAAGTTCAAACACAAGTTTTCACAGCTCCCACTCATCAACACAATGCACGCTTTGCGAATGATAAAAAACGATGCATTCCCTCTGGTACAATCATTTCCTTTCATTGTTCTTTCCACGACAGAGCTACACAATTTTGGAACTCACTCCCTGTTAACATCTGCAACATTCATGCTCATTACAAATTTAAAAACAGTCTAAAAATACACCTTCAAACCATGTACTAATCATTTCGTGTTTATTAAATCTCGTGTTTATTTATTTATTTATAGATACTGCGGTGTATCCCTCTAATGAGATCCTCCAAGCATTTCTGCCTCTGTTCCCAGGGACAACCAGCCTCAAGGCTGATTTTCATTTGTATATACTGTCTTTTTTTTGCTGTCCATTCTATTTTCTGTCCCAATAAATAACATTATTATTATTATTATTTATTTTAATTTTAATTTTAATTATTAGTCAGGGACTCGCTGTAGCGAGTTAACGTGAACCCTGAGTGAGCAGCCATGCGACTGCCTTTGCGAGGCACGAATCCAAATTGCATGAGGATGCCTGAAAGTGCGTGCAGATGCATGAACTTCTATGGCTGAGTACACACTTTTGACAACGGTCTATTAATTTGTCGCGTGGATCCGTCAAGAGAAACTGATCTACTAGGCAAAAATCAATGTGGAATTCCGTCTCAAAATTGGCAGACACATGCCTGTTCACTCGGAAAATATTACCAATTCGATTAAATCTGCCATAACTCAAGAGTAGAAGGGCAAGGGCGCATATACTTCAATAGCTCTTTAAGAAACTTGTCAACAAGGTGTCCTTACATTTTCAAGTCAATTCGCAGAAGAATTTATTTAAATGAAAATTTCAAGTTACTTAACTTCTTTTTTCAACCAGGCCTCTATATCAATCTTATTTGCAACACACATTTCCTTTCGTTTCTGAAGAGCTTAGAACAGACTGTAAGCCATTCTTGACAAATTTGTCCAACGCGTTGGTCGCAGGTGACTGGCCAGCGACGTGACTTCGAAGCAGCGGCCATTTATAGAAAGCACCTCATTTTTGGAATCTGCGTGAAGTTGCAAAGTTCCAAAGAATACGAAGAATGTGGTAGTAATGGTACTCCAACATTGGTTAGAAATTCAGTAGGTACCGTTTGATTTCCGGCAGTCATTGCGGACAAACTCAAAGTGTCCTCATTACGGCTTGTCGATTGCATCCACCGCCTTCATCATTTCCAGAGGCTCCCTCCCCACTTTTCGCGGAAACGCTTGTGGCATGCACACCAGAATTATGAGGATTACTTTAGCCTCAGGGTAACGACGTCCAAAGAATGACTTGGCAGCGAAAGCGCTAATGAAGTAGAACGCAAAGCAAGCCTAGTCCTATGGACCTCCGACCTGCATCGGCACAGTCTTTTTTCTACCTGACCTGATCGCCCAGATGAAGCCCTAGTAGATAAGCAGGATGTTTTCTTAGTGGCTGACATAGTATTTAGCTATATTTTGTGGGGGTGTGTCAGAAACATTCGGAAGACCCTGTATACCTTTCAGTTGTGCATAGTATTGACCTGAGGCTTCTGATGGGATATTTAATGAAGTTCTCAGAAGCATAAATCAGAATATTCTTCCTTCAAGGGTTACGATATATACGCTGCAAATATCAAATGGTGGAATGGAAATCTGTCCATCATATTGACATACCTCTTTTAATATATATATTTTGGGGTATCATTTCTTCACCCACTGGAATATCTATTGACCGTCCAAAGGAAGACTTTGCATGAGACTGTGTCAAATTCATCGAATCTGAAAACAATGGGAGACGTCTGTATCAAATCAGGATGGAGCAAATACATGAATTCATTTTAATAAAATAATTTTTTCCGGAATTACCCGTGTGTAACGGTTTCCCGTCTCCCCTATCGACCTAGATAAATATATTGTCAATGAGAGCAATAAAAAAAAACAACCCCTGGGGAAACGGGAGCGCCTTACCACAGCTGTTTTGTCTTCGTCCTATGTATCTTATGCAATTACGCGTGCGATTTAAATCACTTCATCCTCGAGAAGCAAACGAATCTTTTGATTATCTGTGCCTACCCACATTCACATGACTCAAGAATGAACATTTCCGTGAGATTTTATGTAAGGAATCTCTTTTTTCACATTAGAAATTGTCTTTGCTGCAATAAAGTGCTGAGCTTCAGACAATCGATGTTGAAATAGAGAAGTTTTATCTTGCTGTTAGCTTTCGCGAATATCACAATAGCGTTCGTTGATTAGACATTTATAGCTCGCGATACATAGTGGATATAAGGTATTTTTGGGTATTTACAGTGCAGTAGCGAAAGACGTAGAGTTGTATCATTTAACTTGCAGGGTAAACATAATGACACGGGAAGGACATTTGCCTGAGTTCGAGTTCGAGATGGAGCTTCCATCATCCCAGGTAGCATCACCATCGTTGGATTGTGCAGGGCTCTCGGAGGGCACGAGTCTTGATCAGCTATACATGAAGAGCTTGCTAAATTTTACATCCGTTAATATAATAGTGCATCGACGAGGCTAACCTTGTGCTGGGGGAGGTAATAACTTCCTTCCTCCCTTTTGAATTTGTGTCCAGGCCATATGGCCTAGTTTCACATTATGTAATGAGTAATGGTGGCGACATCCGGGCTTATAGCGGCGCCATGTTGACTTTTATTATGCAAATGACCATCTCATGTCATTGTCTGCACACAGAGTCAATGTATTGTTTCACTCGCTATTGATGGGCCTTCGGCGCTCTGCGACCGAAAGGAAATTATTAATACTAATGTATTTCAGTTTAAGGCATTCATTTTTGATGCTCACCCCTAGTAATGCGGTCAAACTCCTTTGCTGATGGGTTCAATTCCCACACCTTTGACTCTGACACCTTAAAAACAAGGTGTCTTAGAACATATTCTTATTAACGCCATGTGGCTTGTAGCATGCTACCAATGTAACATTTGTCAGTGCGTTCACTGTTTGGGAAGTTCTTTCATTATCTCCGTATCTACATTTAGGCACAAGTTCTTTAATGGAATCCCTTTATCTAACTCTACCTAATGCTACATACAGTTGTACATGAGAAAATACGTCACTCATGAAGGCAGTTCATGGCTATTTACGTTCCTGCTTAGAGGCTGTATAAGCTTAGAAATGACATTGGTCTAAACACATTGGACATAATCACTCTAAATCGGAAAGTCTTGGGAAAATCTTCCTTGCCGTCCCCCTGCTACATAAAAAGAAACCAATTCACATGCACAAACATACAGGTACGCATCAACCTAAGTCCTTCTACCTAGCCTATGACCTAGAAAGGCATAGGGCAAAGACCACGCGCCGCATGCTAAGATATGAAGTTTCCCGTTCAAATAGGCCGAAAAGTTCCTCGTCGCCGTTGAGTCGAGATCGATGTAGGCCTGAGCGTCGATCAAAGGTTAGATATGGGCCTGCTGAATCAATCCCTTCAGGGCACGTACCTCTAATTGTCAGTTATCTGTAGTTTGCAAGCCAACAGCTGCTTGTTCTCCATTCCGCTTCTTTAGAAAAAGAGTGTACTCTTTGGCGCTTAGGCCAATGGTATTGGCCTAAGCGCCCATCCATGGGTTAGGTCCGGGCCTGCTAAATCAGCCCCCCTTGAAAATTGCCCCCAGGGCATGTAACCCCACCCCCCTCTCGAAGTCGGAATTCCTCCTAAGTGAACAACGTAGCAGTTACATGCACTTCCTTCAGTGACAGAGGAAGGAATGTGTGCATGAGAATGGCGTAAACCTAAACCTCCGTCTGGGGGGGGGCTAGACCTAGGTTTGCAAAGTCAGTCCCCCCCTGAAATGTCCACCAGGGCATGTACCTCCAACGTTGGATTTTTCTGAATTCTGCATCCCAATAGCTACTTGTATACCAAGTTTCAGATTTCTAACTTCTCTAGAACATGGTTAGAACTAGCGTCAGTTAGTCAGTCACGATCGTCTACATACAGTACAGTATATTAGATTGGTAAGAATGGTGTGAGATTAATTTTAAAATCGCAAATTTTCGAAGCATTTACTTTCACCTGCTCCGAATTCAGGTCTCAGTATTCCTACATATTTTCCTTCTTCCGATTTAAACTTTGCGCGTGGATTATTTTTTCTCCTTGTTGCTGGGATTAAGATTCAGAATTATTCAACAATCCAATCCATGTTAACTTCTTGCTAATAACAGCAAATGAAAAAACCAATGAAACAAAAAATTATCAGCTTCAAGGAATGCCTGGAAATGTGTGAATATTCAGAAATTAGGGCAAATGGCAATATCATCTTCATTTATTTGTACAGTATCCACATTATGTGTCAAAGGTATTGCAGCACGAGCGGACAATGTTCATGGTTTACTGTCCATAAGCTACGCATCCCGCCATCATTTAAACTTAAGGGCACTCTAACAACGCAGTTGTAATGTACCCTATATAAATCGAGCAAATGTATTGCAAGGTGTTCGTACAAAACTGTTTTTGTCTGGAATCAGCATTAAACTAAATGTTGACAGCCTTATGTTGCTCTACAATCAATGCACCTCTCCTCTCCGTTATATCTTCAAATTTGCTCATAGATCAATGCATACCTACGCAGCCTCACCGCTATTCTTATGCAGGCGCATCAAATCACATCACATATTCTCAAGCTGTTTAACAAATCCCACGCAGTTTAGGTCCTGTAGGAGGCGAAACCTTGTAGGCAAAATCAGTTGCATGGACGGATTGCGAAACGCGCTTAGCCTATGACATGGAAAGGATAAAGCTCGTAGGGGTATTGGCTACCAAGCCTATGATCCGGAAAAGCAAAGGCATATAGGATGAGGGACTACCTCGCCTATGTCCTTGTGGGGCTAAAGCTTTATAGGCCATAGGCTACACCTACCATGAATCTCCTTAGCGTATTCTAATATAATATGGATATGGATGGATGGTGATTTCATGATAACCCTGTATTCATGTAGGACCAGCCATTCGTGCGAAAGTAATTTTAAAGGCGGATTTTTGTGAACGCATTAACCATAAAGAATGATAATGAATAATAATGTTCACGGACGCGGCATGGACTAAGAGAATGTCGGGTTATTCGAGATGTTCCTCATGAGTGATGTCTTTCAGCCGGAAATTATGGATAAAAAGAAGTGAAAATGACAGCACTTTCCAAACATACATCAATGTCGAAGCGATTACGAGTCTACCCGCATGAATCCACTATTTAGCAGCGAGATTTATTAGCGCGATTCGGCATGGTTAACATGAGCAGATTAGTCTCACTCACCTTTGAAGTAACGTTGATATTCTTCAGTGAGGAGTCCTCCAGCCAAATTCACTACCAATACCTTACCAGTCTTTGCCAATTCAGTAGCTCTTTCCCTGATCATAAATGTCTTTCCTGTCCCATGAGCTCCGCAGATGAACATAAACTTTTCTTTGCTCATCACTGATTCTCGTTGCTTTGGTGTGAGAATTTCCGACATCTTCTTCATTTGTCCCTCGCTCTTGATTAACAATTGAGTTTGGTTGCGAGGTAGGTCTAATCCCGATGCTGCATAGACGTATAGGTCGAAGATCTCCTTGAAGGTCTTTAAAACTGGGGACTCCGGATTCCGGTCCCATGTCTTCTCCAATACTATCCCTCGTCTGTCCAAAAACGCTGTGAAACTTCCTGGACCGTCCAAGTCTTCCAAGGTGAGGATTCGTGCCCTGCATTCTTTACATTTGATCTCTTTCTGCAACTTCGACTTCGAGAGCATCGGGAGGGCTACGAATCCCGCTAACTTTACTATCGAATTTAGGAAATTCCCGCACACAACCCGAAACACGTTGAAGTCCTTGTTGACTTGCTTCATTGCTTTTGCCAACGAATCAAGGATTGTTTTGTGGTTAGCATTTGACGTTGTGGCTTTAACTTGAAAGAATAGTCCCACTATGTCCTTGCCAGATATCCCAATGCCTAAGACACCATGACACCCGGTCTCTAGGTCCTTCGTTGTAACTCCGAAATTCTTGATGAAATGATCCTTCTGTTGCTGATTGATTCCCTTGAAGAAGGTATCTGTAAATTCGTAATCAGCCATAGTCAGTGATGGCACATCCTTGAACGCATGCTTCACTCGATCGAAAACCACAGCAATGGACAGCTGGTTCAATGGCAAGGACACGTCTTCTTTGACTTTGAAAGCCCTTGTCTTTAGATCATTAAACTTATTGTCGCTCAAAATGAACCCCTCAGGCAGGGAGTAAGACTTAACATATGCTTCAGGGTAATGCTGGGACACATATGCGCTCGCAATTTCTTCTGGGGGTCTTTCACCTTTATATACTTTCAGATGTTCCCTTATATCCAATTTCCCTCTTCTTGTATAGACACTCAGCAATCCCAGATGAGAGAATTCCTCACATTTTGGGCAATCCTATGCAAAGAGAATGTTATACACTTCAACATGGTAACAGTTGTTGACAAGTGGTACTCTCACCAAAATTCAAAGTTAACTTCGATGGGAATGTAACACTAAAGATACATCTGCATTCAGTCAACATTCTAAAAGTAAAAGCATTCCTCACCGTTTAAGTAAAGTGTCTGCAACCCCCGGTGACTAACCATTCCTACGATTTTCGAAGGAGTAACATGTTCTTAACATCTTAATTTTCTTATTTTCTACATGTCATCGTATTATAATTGCTCCATATTAATATGTCCTTGGTCACTTCGAGTCGTTTTATTAGTTTTTTTCTTCTCACATTTATGAAATTTAAATCACTATTTCCTACTGGATTGTGGGCAAGGCAACCATGGATAGTTTCTTCATGGAACATAGTCCAGTCTCTTGTGAAGCTCGTTTCATTTTAATTATATACCGACGCGTTGTACAGATCCCCGCCCTCATAATCTTTTCAAAAATGTGGAAATTTAATTTGGAAGCCTAGGTGATCGCTCTGCTTTTGCTAAATTTTATGCAGTAACCTATGAAGGAGAACGATGCGTCATATCACCACTACATCGAAGTAAACCTGGATAGCGGATGGTGGAATCAAGATCATTGACATTTCTAGGGCGGAAGGTCTATAAACATGGTGCATCGAATTGAGGTGGGGTCGAATCCTGTGCGACAAGTGAATTTCGAAGCGCCTTCATTGTTTTCTTTAATAAGAAAGGAGGAGGAAACGATTCTTCATGCAGCATTTTCCAAAAATAATTGAATCCAATGAGTGGAGTTCTTATTCACTTAAGTAACTTTAATCTCTCTTTAAATCTAATTCAAATGGAAATTAGATGAAGAGAGTGAACCCGATACAATTGAGGATCAGAGGAACTGCGAGAGAAAAGATTTGGGAGCTTCGTGACTGAGAAAAGGGAGAGGCAAGTAAAACTGAAGTTTCAGTAAAACAGTGAATGAGAAACTCACAAATATGAGGAACTTTCCTATGTTATTCAGGCTGAGAAGGATTCCGGATTCAAGAGGAACGTTGTGAGTAAGAACCTCCTCCTGGATGCGTCCTTCTTCTAGCATTGTGCGCCAAACTTGCTGATGCTCTGGTAAGCAGTCAATGATGTAGAGATGCGTCTTTGCTCTGGACAGGCTTTCCAAAATCCAAGAATCATCCACATTTACTGTGATGGTAACACTAGATTCACACCCTCGGAAATCTTCAGGATGAAAAAAGTGCAGCCTTCTCGCGTGCTCTCCACTAATTGTCTGCAGAAAGTTCATTAGCTTTCTATCAGGCATGAGCACATAAACAACTTCACCAAGTATCTCCTGCGACAAGGCGGAGAGAAAACAGACATACGCGCCTATGTAAGGCAAGCAACTTTCTTGTCCCTTGCAACTCAAATCCAGGTGATTGCCAGGACAGAGGTATTTTATGCTGATACGCTTGGGCTTGGAACCAATGACCCAAGCCCCTGGGCGCGATCCTGTGGGCAGGGTTTTGGCTACCATCTTCAAAGGGTTACATGTCTCGTTGTTATAAATGTGGTGGAGAAGCTGTTTGCTCGTGCAACAGTCAGGGGCTGTCCCAGGTTCATGTAGTTTGATCACCTCCGAATCATGGCGATCTTGGAAAAACGATATCAGCTTCTCCATGGAGATTTCTCTACCCCCTCTAGAATGAGTTTGAAAAACGACCGTCAGGGTGAGGGTTAGAGTCGCCCTGGTTAATTCTTCGAGCGCCCGTGTCCACTCTTCTATTTCTTTCTCGGCGTCTACAGCTTCGATGCAATAATCATCTACATAAATATGGATGATTGAACAGTGGCATTTCCACTGCACCCTTGCCACTCCTCCGTATTTGACAATCTCTACGGGAGACAAGCTTTTCACTCTCTCAATGTCAAGCATGTTTATCGGGTTACTGCCGAGGCGATCCAAAGTTTCCTTTTGACAAAGGGCGCTCCCCATATGGAGTAAGAGTATTCCGTACTCATTGTGGCCTTGACGAGCAATATGCACGAGTTGGTTGATCCTTTCCAGCAATTGCTTACTTTTCCCAGAAGAAGGGGGTCCGAAGATGACAGTCAGTGTGGTCTTAGGAAGAAGAAAGTAGTCAATTTCACATCCCTGCAAACCGTCATACCATTTGGTAAGTGGGATAGACTGGTTCCCTGGTGTTTCGTCAAGTTGCGCAACAGACCTGGTGTCTTTCATTTTCCGCGCACTTTCCAATTTCTCCAAGAGTCCTTCCTCATATACCACCTTATTCGCAGCCATCATTTTCTCAATCGCCTTTTTCGGAACAATCTCGGAATATTTTCCAGTGCTAAGAGCTTCCCCGTCCAAAAAAATAATTATATTATTATGGCATGAGGAAATCATTCGAATATAATTCCTCCATTTGCACTCCTGCAAGTCTAGGATAAAAAGTGGGTCTCTAATGTGATGCCCAAGAATTTGATCATCTGTCACAATGAAAATGGAGCATGATGGTGATTCACAAATTCGTTCAAACGTGTCCAAGGATCTAACTTCAGTGCCATATAAGTGTTTAAGAATAACCATCAGGCGATTTCTTCGCACGATGGTGTCCACAACAATGTATATTGGCCTGTTTGATGCAGTGGAATATTTCTCCATGCCTTTCAGAATGACATAGGAAGACCTAACGGCTTCGCAAGTCTCTTTGTCCTCGCAAATATCATGAAGTTCAGAGCAAGATGGTATGGGAAACAATGTAGGGATCAATTCTCTTCTCTTAGGTTCGCAAAATACCGTTTCCCGAATAGTGGGTTCCTGGCAAACAAATATCCTGCGTACATAATTTCCAAGGGCCAAGAACAAGTCAGTAACATGACGTGTGTTCCTTTTCACAACATTCAAGATTTTAATGTCAGCGTCTGCGATCTTGATGTCCTGGAGTCTTATATCCCGGGTGTAGGCGACATCATTCGGACGGAATGAGAAAGTGAGACTGCTCACATGCCCTTTCAAAGTAGAAACCTCCATCCAGTGCTCAGAGAGCCTCATCTCATCCAGGCGACCTTGGATCCCTAGAGTGAGGGGAACTTCATCCAGCAGCACGTGTTTCCCCTTTCCCTCTCTCCGGAGGAAGGCGAAGAGTTCCTGACGGTCTTCCAATATACCCTCTTCCTTTCCATCCAATATCGTGATGTTCTTCAGACCTGAAAGTAAGTATGAGAATACCGAAAGTCAGATTTTCCCATAGTCTCTCCAGGAACTCCCGATTCTCATTCGCCATTTAGTTTTTGGTAAAATTAGAACAGTTTCCGCCTCACCGAAAGCCAACGCTGGTAATAAAGATCAGGGCATGCATGACGCATCAATGATGATGAAATTGGGTGAAATGAGTCTTGAAAACTGATTGTGTGGAAATTTACGTTCACCATCAAGGTCGAGTAAGAAAGGAATCTGCATTCGCCCCTCTGTTACTCCTCTTCTGCATTACCCTAACCAAATGCTATACTCATGAAAAGCATTTCAACAAAATCCCAAATATTATCATACAACCTAGGGTACTGCTAACTCTTTGCAAATCCAGCTGCTGAGCATAACAAGGAACCATCTTAGTGCAACTGTTGTTAAAAATGTTGTACCAAATATCCAATCTTTGTCATGTTTCCTTCTGATCCATCTTCCATTGACCTCTTGAATAACCATGTTACGAAATCCAATTCCGTACAATATGAGAGACTTTCATAAATGGCATACATTTCGAACTCTTAAAGCTTGGAAGATAAGACACTGAACACGGAGAAAATAATTCAATTGAGACAAGGACACATTCTCTTCCATGCAATCATTCGTTTTGCTTCAAGAACGTGCCGATTGTCATCTGACCTTGATCAGTGCAGGTTTTTTGTATGGTATCCCGATAGTCTTTTGTCAGAAGTCCCCCGGGAAGGTTCACTACAAGCACTTCCGCATTGGGATCATTTGTACCAAGTTGTTTTGCTCTTTCTTTCACTACAATAGTCTTTCCTGTGCCCGGCCCTCCCGCAATGAGGAGGAGCCATGATCTTTCATCCACGAGTCTCTTCTGATCCGGAGTCAAAATACACAATGCTTTTTCCATTTGTTCAGTGCTGGCTTCGAAATACTCACAATGAGTTCGTGGCACTTCAACGGAAGATGATCCACAGATGTAAAGGGAAAATATATCCTGAAATAATTTTTTTGCATTCTGTGTGCACTCTGCAATCGTTCCAGGCAGTTGTTCCACGTCGTTCTTTCTGAGGAATCGTCGAAGGGCTCCTGGACTCGTAAGATCGTCTCTCGTCAAGATTTTCCACTGACACCTATCACAATTAAGGAATATACGCAGCTTCACCCTCTTTATGAAAGGAAAAGCAGGTAAAGCAACAACTGTGGCAGAATCATTTAGGAAGGGGGGTGTGTATCTGAACTTTTGTACGTACAGAAAGAGTGTGTACCAGTAGCGTAACGAACGCCATACTACTTCAGGGAGACATATAAAGACAAAAGAGTGAACTTTCTTATATAACATCTGGAAGAGAGCACTGGGATAACACAAGAAACAATTATGGGAACCTTCGTTGAGGCTAGGAAGTGCATCTTCCACTATATCCCTTTGTTCCTTCTTTACCGTATATAGGGCTCGTTGAAGCGTCCCACCTCGGTTAAAAGTTTCACTGAACTTATAATCAGCTACCAAAAATGAAGGATGAGAGCCACATATGTCTTTAATTCGAGTGAAGACGGCAGCGACGGCTTCACGATCGCGAGGAAGTTCCACATCCTCGCCAACCGGATTGTCGCGTTCTTTCACCCCCTGAGCAAGAAGGGGCAGCTCAAGGAGGAAAGACTCCTCCTTCGGGCTACCCTTTCTTACTACTCAGAGGGGTTGGAAACACATCATAGCCAAGTGTATGAGGAACCTACGGAGCGACTTTCCGTTACGAAACGGTGGCGGTAAGTACACCTGAATAAAATAATAAAAGAAACTAGTTTAAATATTATTCCGGTTGCTTCTAAAATCTACACATTACTTCGGACGCGTCACAATATCAGCATGACGTAGACCTGCGTATAAGAAATGCTCTGCATCTTTCCAGCTCTTTTCCGGTTTCAATGTCAAATTTCGATCAGTCCCGGAAGCTTTTCATTGGGATATGGAATTCCTGAAACAGTGGGTATGAAAAAAACTAAGACTCCAAGAATTGATTTCTCTTGCAGAACAGTGAATAAAAATGAAAATGATTTATTTGATCACTTAGAAATAACTAATAAAGAGCTTCAATTGTTCGATAGCTGCATGGAAATATACCAAACTTGAAGAGATATAATGCATGTCGCATTTGGGCAAAATAAATATGCAGCGTCGCTAGCTAGCCACGACGTGCTGCCTCGTCGAGGATCCAGCAATGTAAGCAGTCAAAAACGCTGGTGATCCATACGTTTCCTGGCAATGTGTGAAAATTCACACGGCTCTGCAGATAGTTGTTTTTCTTTCAGCATCCTTCATTAAGTGAAAAGAATATCAATGCAGGGACACTAACGAATCAGAAGCACGATATCTGTCACTTACGAGGACCCGTCAAAAGGTTCCAGGACTGACCTTTGTACAAGAAAATAACGGGGAAAAATTAGGTTTCAGTACGCTCTCCTTCGAAATATCTCCCCTAGCCTGCGATACACTTCTCCCCACGTTTGTAAAGAGCAGGAACACTGGCTGTAAGCCATTCTCGATAACCACCTTCAACGCGTTGGTTACATCTAATTTTCGAGCGCCTGCGTCGACGAAGGTGCAAGCTTTCAGATAGAAATTCACCTGGAAAACAGTATGAAGTCACAAGTGAGGTGCGGTGAATATGGATGATGTAGGAACAATTTCACACTGCGATAGGTCAAAAATCCTATGGCACTGCCATGGTACTGATTTTTTGCTGGAGGCTGCTGCAGACAAGCTCAGAATGGGCCTGCTCAGTTTTCTTAGTACGACTGTTCGATATCCTAATTCTCGTGCGTTTGCGAGTTGCACTGTCGACTATGCGACGTGCAGGAATCCAATAAAGACGACAAATGCAGCGGACGGCCATTGAAAAGCCATACTCTGGAAACTGTGGATACCCTTCCTGATCTTGTTTGCAGTAACCGCTGCATCAGTCCTTTGGTCGTACTATAATTTCTAACCAATCGTGCGGGGAGAATGATCTCACATCCTCCCTATTCACCGGATCTCAGGACTTGTGACTTCACGCTGTCTCCCAGATGAAGTTCCATCTGAATGGCCGCAGCTTCATCGACGCAGGCGCTCTCCAATCAACTGCAACCAACGCGTTGAAAGTGGTTGCTTAGAATGGCTGGCAGCCACCCTAGTAGCATATAACATTGACTCAACATTGATTCAACGTTGGTTCAACGTCTGGATGTTAAATCAACAACGAAACAATGTTGTTTCAATGGTATGTGCTATTAGGGCAGTGTCATGCTCTTTAAAAACGTGAGAAGTTTATCGCAAGCTAAGGGAGCTTTTTCGAAGAGGATCATACTGAAGCCTAACTTGTCTACGTCGTTTTCACGTACAAAGACCAGTCCTGGAACTTTTGGATGCATATGGTATATGGTGCCATGTTGCTCGTGCCACTGACCTGAATGTGCTCGCAGATATCAAATATAATTTCCTGACGGCATGTGCTTGGAATTGCGATGTTGTTCAGTCTTTCTCCAAACTGACACGTGCACTCAACCTAAAAAAAGAGAGATTCAAACCATGAAATGGAGAAACCTTAGATACTCCGTTTGATGACATAAGAAGCGTTCTAGATGCTGATCAAGTTGTCCTCGTTGCATAGGGTTCTGGCTAAATTTCTCTAGCTTCTCTGATTAGCATAATAGAAAGACGGAAATTGATGGGACTAACGCTCACTTCCGAAAATATTAAATTTCAAAATGTCAAAACTCGTTACAAAGTTCATATATTTTTCTTCCCGCTACTCGCATTCAGATGCACGACTTCTACCAACCCGGCGACAAAAGAATATACCTAAGCTTCGAAACAAGTTAATCATTCAGCAAGCTGCCCTACAATAAGTGTGGAAACAACTCACCAAAGGATCATGGAGATTGCCATCATCCCCAGCGTGCATAGGTGTCAATGAGGATGCAGAGTAATCGAATAGGTCCTCGTTATCATGACCATATATTTTTTGCTTGTTCTTGGCTGGCTCTGCATCTACAACAGTACTTCAAGGAAAAATGAACATTTCCATGCATGCATGAGTTCAAACTTGGATCTTTTCATAGCTACTTGGAGTGTGTCACGGCATTCACATACCTATCTGGAGACGGCGGCGTTTCACTGCCACGTGGAGATTGCCAACCCAATTCTGCGAGAGGATAGAGTAACAAGAGGATATAGTTAGAAAGCGTTGCATCAAGAATGAGCAAATGCATTGTTACGTATCTGGGAGTTTATGGTATATGCAGAAATGCATGCATTGTCTTACATGCAATTGCGTTCAACCCACCTCATCCACTCGAGATTTTGAGATACATTTTCGCAACTCTGCTTTGGTTCTGACTGTTTACTTTATGTAAAAATTAGTAGCATAAGAGACCTTAAAATATACTTTACTTCAAAATACTTATTTTTAACGAGTATTCTGCTGAGTGAACGATCTGGGATTTCCTTGGAATGATTTTTTACATAACTAGTAGGTAGTCCGTTCAAAAGCATGGAAGTATTCAATACTTAAAGGCAAGGAATGCACCCATGGCCATGGGAGGCGGTGGCCACACTCCCGCTCCCATCCAGGCCCCTGCCTGGCCATGTGAGAAGATAGGACGAGGCAAAAACACTCCTAATTAATCGGTCTGCCTCTGTGCTTCGTTAATGACAATTAACGAAGGTTAATTGTGAATGACAAGGAGCTGACGCCAAGCGAAAACGAAGGGTAACCCAAAAATCAAGGCGTTACCTTAAATCGTGTCCTTGTCGCGGTCGGGATCCCGAGAAATATATGGGCAGAGATCTCATACCAGCGAGGAAGTAATCCTTCCTCCAGAAATAAAAGGGGACTCCAAGTGTAATACGCGAGGACGTTTTACATCTACCTGCGGAAAAGTCCGTTTCGAACCGCCCTGAATAGGGAGAGGAGGAAGTGCGTAGAATGCCTCTCTCTCCCGTTGTAAGTTTAGGGATGGCATGGAGAGGTATGACTGAACAATCTGAGTGCGGTTCTTCTTGACAATGCTTATCCCCATTCAGCTTTGAAAAGTCAGCAAAACAAATCAAACTTAGAGGTGGAACATTTCCTCATCTTGTCTTGATTTAGCCCCCACAAATTATTTTGGTCACATTTTAAAGGAAGCATTTGTGCAGACATTTCACAAATGATGGAGATGTGAAGAATACTGTCACATAATGGATCAGATGAAAAGNATGTCATGCTAACTCCCCCCCCCCCCCCCCACCCCCCGGCGGTTATTACGCCCTCGAGAATGGAACCGACAGTCGCAACGGCAGAAAAAAATATGAGAGCCGAGAGAGGGAGACGAACATCTAGAGGGAGGCAGACGATTCTATGGGAAGAGCACACGTGATCGCTCTGAGCGCACGCGTATCATGCGTGCACGCGCATGCCACGGACCGCCGCCGCCGCCACCACGGACCACAGTGGATTTTATTACATACATTTTTTATTTTTTATTGCATGGACAGATCTGGTTTTCATGCTCAAAACGAAACAATATGCAGACAACTAAATCGTAATAAGTAGCGGGTGGACCATTCCACACCATCTGACATAGGTGATCTGATCATAGGTGACGCTTAACTATCTTAGGAAAAAAGTGAAAAATTTCTGAGTTATTACGTATTACAAAAAACTAGAGTACATTTGCTATCATTTTTCATTCCTGCTCATACATGAGATTTGAGTTTCGAAAGTTTCGGTTTTCAGGCACATATGACGACTCGGGTTAATTTCATAACTCTCCAACGACGCAAGCTAGAAATGCATCTAATGGCTCATATAAAAGGTCGGAAGTAGTAGAATTATATCATTATAAAGAATATAAGGGTTTTATGAAACTTGAATGATATTGTTACGGAGAGGGGAACGATGGACGGACGAGACGAAGGAAGGCATGAGAGGCCGAAAGAAAGCCAAGGAACGGCCGGGAATTGAACCCAGGCCTCCTGATTGCCGGTCAGATGTGCTACACCACCGAACCCGGGACAATCAGTCGAGCCTCTCGATGCCATCCTCATCCGTCACAATGTCTTTTTCAAAATTAAATTAATATTTAACATTTTCATACGCTTATGATCCCTTTTTTAGTCAATATAACAAAATCAAAATTACAATGTCAGTATTCCACCTCCGGGCTCAGTTTTTTTTTTGTTTTATCCAAGTACCATTATGCTCTCATCATCCTCACGTGCAGAAAATGAAAGCCGAATCTTCCATATCTTTGTAACTTTGGCGAAATTACTTTTCGGTCCAGATAAAATCGGACCTTTATGTTATATGAAATAATATTCCGAGGTCTTTTTGATATGAGTACCGTACGTGTCGTGCATGCACGTATGTAAAAGTAATGACTTTTCAAAAGTTAGTCGACTGTCGCCTTGACTGAGTTCAATATTTCCTCTTAGGAAAACTGATTCAACTGCTTATTCTCTACGGTATTTATTCCACAAAAAGTGGAATAGGGATTTATTGCATCCTTACTTGTATTGCGGTTATTTCATTCACACACACACACACACACACATATATATATATGTGTGTGTGTGTGTGTGTGTGTGTGTTTGAGTGTGTGTGTGTGTGTGAATGAAATAACCGCAATACAAGAAACTCGTCCTCGTTTCTTTCTCGTCCTGTTCATCTCTAGATGGATAAAAGCTTTTAGTAACCTGTCGGGGTGTAGGTCAATTCGTAGATGTCCATATGTGGGAATAAGGCTTC